CGTCTTGCCCTCTGATGTCACTTGCTGGGTCCAGAACTCGGTGAGACTGTTCGTGTGAGTCTCCTCCAACTGTGGCTCTGTCTTGGACGGTCCGAGCATGAGCCCTGCAAAGATGTGCACGTACGGCGGACCAAGGCGGTCTTGAGCGGCGGGGTCGCCTTTGGCCTTCTTGCTCTTCTCGTGGCATGACTTTCCTTGAGCCATCATCTCGACGACGATAGGCGACTTGACTTCGACGAGCACCGTGTTCCACAGCATGCCCGTGATCTCCCTGATCTCGGCCGCGTTTGTCAGGCTTAACTTTGTGAGTACGATGAGCAACTTCTTGACTGTGCTCACGTCCTCTCCCTTTGCCAGCAGATCCTGGATGTGTTTTTTTCGATCTGGTCCCTCCGCACCTTGAGCTGGTTCGGCACCGCGCTTCAGTCCCCAAGAAGGTGCTGCGACTGCGAAGGGCGGCGTACCGATAGCGAGGTGGATGTGTCGGTTCCAACTCTGATAATCCTTTGAATGGAGGTGCGTGACTGTGTAGATGCTCCTGCAGCTGCTCGAAGGTTTGAGCCCGGAAATCACAAAGATGGCAATCAACACGATCGGGATGATGGCGCTCGCCAATATAGCGTGAGCGATCAAGACAATGTCCACCCCGAGCCACACTAGATAAGAGATGTCTCTGAGCCGTCTTCACACACGAGAACGTGGTAAGGCAGAAGGGGCAGACATTCGTGGTCACGATTCTTGTCCACACGTCACGCTGTCCATGTTTAGCCATTCGATGTTGTGTTACAGCCTTATATGTGTCAAAACAAGCCGAGCATTTCAAACAATCATCCAAGACAAATCCACATTTCCATCCTCCTCCACCCTTATCAGTATATGCAGTAATACTAGTTTGAGTGGGTAGCTGGTCTGGATGCCACTCTGGTGGCGGTATGGCTGACATATAAACTCATTTACGCAATACAGTAAAATCTTGATTAAGAAACTCCTCCTTCACCTCCTCATCTGTGAATATCTGCGCCCACCCCGATCGCACACATACCCCAAGATAACCGCCCTCATCATCAAGCCCCTCTACCCCCTCTTGTATATCCTGTCGTAGCTGTAGTGCCCACGGATTCGCATCCTTTTTCAAGTCACCACCAATCAGCGTCGGTGTGTCCTCGAACGAGAAGTGTCCGAGCATGGAGGTGAGAATCTGGCCATTTCTCCACTGGTGGGCGATCATGGTCTGATACCTCCGAAGGCGCCGCACCCGCATCTCAAGACTCGCGGGTGCCATTCGCCAATGCTCCAGTACTTGTGCAGTGCTCAGTGCACGATGCTGCTGTCCAGTTTTGGTCTCTCGTATTTCATGGGCTGCTCCTCTCATCGCTCGTCTAGCATAGCGTGCTACCAGATGATCTAATTCTATATACTGTTGCTTAGAGCGGATGTAGGCTTCGTTAGAGTGCAGTGCAGTGTTTTGTACACAGCATATAAGAAGTGTGCGCTTCACCCTCCACGGGGTGTGCTTTAAAGACCAAAAAGCTCCTAGCGAGTAGTAAGCTGCCGCCACCGCCTTCTTGCGGTATGTGAATTCTACTGCATAGCTACAGTTCGCACCGATACGTCCCCCTAAATAACGAGCGTGCGTGCAGTGCGGAGCGGGAAGGGAAACCCTCTTCATGCGAAGCTCACGCGCGTCGGTCTCCGACCCAGGCCCCGAAAGCACTGGAATGATTTCCTGCTTACTCATATTTTGCTTGCAGCCGATTTCGGCCAGAGCCATATCCAGGAGGGCATTGGCTCGCTCGCTCGACTGAGCAAGGTCCTGAATCCCTTGGTGGGGCCCTCCCAGAAGAAACTTCAAAATATCATCAGCATAGAGACTAAGTGACACATCTACTGCACGATCCAGGAAAGGGCGTTGAGCCACCAACTCCGAAGTAACCAACCCCTCCGCCTCCAAACGTTTTCCCCAATCCTGGATGGCAGTTTGGAACTCTGCACAAACTGGCGTACGATATAAGGATCCCCCATCATGCCTCCACAGCCTGGTTTGAAAAAACGGGGGCCCTCCTCGCACTGCAGAGTTACTGCTGCTTCCTCGAATCGCTGGCAGCCAAGACTTGCGAGGCCGTCTTCCATCAGCTCCACCGCAGCGGCACGCATGTCTGCCCACTTCACACTCGCAAAGGCATTCGTGAGGTCGTGAAGGTGAACCAATCCTAAGCGGCCAGCGCGACGGATACGCCACATCATGATCAGAGAGTTGGCAATTGCATTCTCTTTGCATCTATGTGGTAAAAAATCCAAGCACTTGGGGAGGCATCTCGGGGGCCGTAGAGTGAGTGGAGTACCAGCCCTTACCGAGCGGAGGAAGGAGGTGGATGGTACGAAGCCCCGAGGCCGTTCCCCCAAAGGAAGTCCCGTCGGCTTTTTGCCCAAGAGACCCCCATGCTAGAGTGCCAAAAAACAAGTGTACGCATACTGGTTCGAATTCTGAGACAGGCATCTTCCAAAATAGATCTAAAAACTGGCGCGTCCAACTCGGGCTCCGGAGCCCCCAACCCTCGATTCTGATACGAGGCAACCGTGGGTGGGACCAGAAGTATCGCCAAAAGCTCAACAGGCGCGGCCCAGCTAGAGCCAGCCTTTCTCTTGGGAGCTCTCAGAGCCCATCTTTCGAGTTTACAAACATCCGACTTGGCTTTTTTTTCTGAACTGCTCGTCTAACTGGCTGATTGAATCAGGTGTAAGGTCTTCATGCACTCGAGCTCTGGCAAAGTTGATCCAAGACGGGATCAGGGTCGCCTGCGTGCCTCCTTCACAGCCAGGGAGCGAGAGCTGGTCCAGCCATTCCTTCTCCGACGGCGGGGCGACTTGTGCTGCTAGATAAGGGCGACGCTTGGTGCCAAACTTGCCACCTGCCGCTCGCCTGGCCAAACGATACACGTCAAAGAGTTTGCGCTTCCTCCATGCTTCCCACATCTCATTGATCGTCTTCTCTTGAAAAGCCTTCCAGTCCAAAATACGTTCTCGCTTCATGTGGCGTGAAAGGGCTCGCAATTCCTCCGAAACTCGTCGCTCTTCATCTGACTGGGGTGTCAGCTCGGCTGCACTGTGATCTGGCACTGAATTTTGTGAAGCCTCGTACGCGTTCTGATCGCCAGTTGGGGGCAACCTGATGGCATTTGGCCTGCATCTGATATTAGATTCACCAATTGAAGTAACAGCTGGCGCAGTGTGGCCCAGTGCGGCTCGTAGTTCTTGGCGCTGGCGTAGCAGTTGTCGGCGATGTGCCTGTAGTGCGGTATATCTTTCATCTTCAACTCGCTCAGCCGTAAAGAACTCTTCACCAATCTCAGTCATCACGCCTTCATTCTGGGCCCACAACAAATCGGGAAGCGTGCGGGTCTTCAAATCACGCATCAAGTCCTCGTCCTGGGTAAAGCGCTCTTCCACAGCTTGAATAAAATCATCTCGAATCGGATCGCCATGAAAGGCTTCCAGCATTTTGTCTCGGTCCCATCTCGCGCGTGCTGCCTTCTCTTTGTTTGCGGCCGTCCAAGTCGGCAGCTGAAACTTGAGGTGTAAAAACGTATGGTCTCGGCGAACTCGGGTGCCGATGAGCTGAAGTTGTCTCGACAAGTGGCCCAGGGTGCCCATACTGCTGCATACTAAACTCGTGGGTGGAGAAGGAGAAGGAGGAGGCAGGAGGAAATGGGGAACCAAAAAATGGGTTCCCATTTCCGCCCCACGAAAAACGGCCGTTCGCCTGCACGTGATTTACCAAGAACTGTTGCTGTTGGGTACGTCAGCGCGCAGATTGCGATCGCATGGCGCACCGCAGCGCAGCATCACGGGCACGGCACTGATACTCTGGAGGGCATCCACAAAAAGGATGCCCCCATGTGGTGGAGGAGGAGGGTTTGACATGGCCGCAGCAATCTGCCTCTCAAGATTTTTTGGCTCCAAGAGGCCAGGCTCCGCCCGCTTCGCGCTCCCGCAACATGGCTGCCATCAACCCCGCGGTGGTGCTGCCAGATAGCCCGGGCACTTCGCTCGGCCTGCCTGGCTACGCGCCAGGCTTTTCGTTCGCCGAGGCGCTGCAGCACATTGAAAACATGAGGGTGAACGACCACCCATGCATTAATAGCAAATGGCTGGATACGGCAGGGCAGCGCGCAATCTCCGATCTACCCGGGCAGTTCGTGACGGAGCGCGGCAAGATGATCGTGCACTTCGCGGATTACCTGGGCGACTACGATGGCGACATCCCATGGGGGGGGGCCCTGCGCGACTGCGCGAAGACGTGCGACTTCAGAGGCATGCCCGAGCCTTTCTCCTTGAAGAAGGAGCCGCCTGGCCAGTGCTCCATGCAGGTGTTCGTCGTCAAGAAGGCCGACGGCAAGCACGACATCCTGAAAGACGTGAACCTCCTGGAGGTGTCCACCAGGACGGATTCGTGCCTTCAGATGTGTCGCGGCACTGGCCTGGTATGGCGCTACGGCAACCAAATTAGGGTTGGGCGCCTGGCCGTGCAGTACATGCTGGAGAAGCTGGAGGGCTACCAGCTGCGGCCGCGGGGCACAAGTTCATACGTGAGAAGGGGCCTCGCACCAACAATGCGAACCAGTTCATGGAGTTCGCGGATCGGGAGAGCTGTCAGCCAGAGTCCGATATTTTTGGTTGGGGGGAGAGCCGCATCGAGAGAGCCCTGAACAATTGCGCGAAGGGCACGGCAAACGCCCAGGGCCTCACGATCTGGACCCTGGCGCTTCGCGACTTCGAGCCATGGTTCCTCAACAACGTGATCAAGCCCATACTGGCCTCCACTCTTAAGGCCTTCGGCGCGGCGTGGATCGGCAAGACGCGCGTTGGGAAGAGCGCTGGGTCGAAGACGCTGGCTTTCATGATGAGCCGCGTGGAGATCGAGGCGCTGGGGCAGTCTGGAGATGCCGGGGCGGGTGAGCTCGCGCCGACGATCGTGACGGCCAAGCATTTCGACTTCTTCAAGGCAGAGCCCGTCACCCGCGTCAGGCCCGTCATCCTTGACGACGGCGAGCTGTCTGAGCAATCGGCATCTATCCTCAAAGCATTCCTGAACCCGAGCGAGGAAGACGCTGCGATTTGGGCACGGTGGGGTTCGTCCGAGTTCGACACTGGGGCTTCCCGCCGGGTCTGCCACAAAGCCCACGACAAGCCCTTCGAGCGCGAGCTCGTCTCCAAGTGGAAGGAGGGCACGCCGAAGGACGTGAGCAGCGACGATTTCATGCGGCTGCTACGGCCGTCGTTTCGGCAGGTGAAGGAGGACGAGGACTTGCTGGCCGTCGGCTCGCGGGCGCATCTTGCACTGGTCACTGGCACGCGGGCTCACTTCCGCCATGCGAGCGATGGGGCAGAGCCGCGTGCCTTGGTGGACTTACACCAACCCGAGAAAAAGCCAGACCTCTTCAACCAGAAATGCAAGGAGGCGTTCGGCAAGTACAGGAAAGACCCGACCAGGCCCGTGTGCCCCGCCAACTTCGGGGACGACGTCAAGTGGTTGATGGACTACTTGAAGCGCCTCTTGCAGAGCACAGACGCGCCGCTCGTGCCGACTGTCACGGGCGCGGGCCTCTTCCCCGCTGGTCCTGCTCCGTCCTCGCCGAGAAGGGGCTACGACGAATTGGGCGCCCACTTGATGAGCGCCGCTGCGTCTTCGTCTAGCGGCCTCCCAGATGCAGTTGACACCGCTGGCAGGGGGCGCGCGGGCCTGCTCGAGAGCGCGGGCAGAGACGAGCAGAAGGCGATATACGAGACAATCCAGCAGGACTTCTGGCAGAGGAGCGCGAAGGTCAGCGGTGAACTGGTGGACTTGATGTCGCTCCCCCGCAAGCGCGCGGCGACGGGGCCCCAGAAACTCACGGGGCGCGGCGGCGATCTCCTTCAGGTGGACGCTGACGAGCAGAAGGCCATATACGCGGCGATGGAGATGGACTTCTTCGAGAAGAACCAGAGGGACGCTGGCGCGCAGATGGGCCTCACGACGCCCCCCCGACAGGGCCGCGCCGCGGAGGACGACGGCCCTGACTTGGATGCAGCGCTCGAAGCCCACTTCGACCACGAGGACGACCTCGATCGCAAGCGCGCAGGAGGCCCGCGCGCAGGCGGAAGAGGCTGACATGACGGATTGAACTGCTGGGTGAGCGGGGTGGCGCCAGCGCGCAGCATGGCCCCCACATATTCATTTCTGCTTGGTGGGCACGCGCCCCTCGATTCACGCGCATGTCGCGC